AAAGTTCCAAGGTGCAAAGGTTATATCGATATAAACTGAGATTACTCAAGAAGGAGTAGTGGGGTTGAGATAGAGACAATGGTCTAACAGGTTTAGTGAAAACTAAACCAATAAAAGGAGAGAACCACCACAAGTGGTATAATCAGTCTTTAAGTTGGAGAGACTATACTCCTTGAAGGATGGGCAAGGCATGGTAAGCCTTCGGTATCAAACCATTGACGAATATTGGAGAGGTGCCAAGAATGGAAAGGGTAATACATGTTAGTATTACTTTATAAAACAATTTATCGTTCGATGAGGATATCGAACTTCATTTATGAGTGGTGGAGTTGTGAAACACAAAATCCCTAGGCCCCAAAGTGGAGCCGGAAGGGTGCCACGTGGTAATGGCCAAAGAGAAAGCCAAACGAGCATAACACGTTTGGACCAAAAACTTTGACTTAAAAGGTCAAGAGCGGGAGTGGAACTCCCAACGAAAGGCTCGAGGAACAAGCACGAAATGAGTGATAAGTGAGTCTCTATAAAAGGGACGCAAGAGGACCCGAAATGGACCCAAGATAGAGTCCAAGGTGGATGTAAGCAACCAAAGGGAACGACTTGAGAGACGATCCATGGGGTTCAAATATAGAGGGAAAGGGCCCATGAACAAGAGTGCACCCCCTTTTCCAATTGGTTAAGGGTCTTGGGATACTTGGGGTTAAGCGTCCTTGGGTTTGAATAGTACTGGGTTGGGTGACCTCCCGGGAAGTCCAAATTCAGGAGTTTACATTTGGTATCAGAGGGGTCTCGGGTCCGACTCTGTTGGTTGGCTAAAGGAATCACACCACATGTTGATTGACATCTGGCTGGTCCAGTTTGCTCCCGCTGGGCTCGACCCAAGGGGTAGGGTGTCAAGAGAGCGAGGCTCTCGGGAGAGCTGCGGCTCTCAGCTTCCGTTCACGAGTTTACAGTGGAGTCTAAGATGGAGTCCAAGATGGAGTTCGAGATGGACCCGAGACCGAAACCGGGACCAAGACCAAGTTCGAGTCCGAATTCGAGTCCGAATACTAATACAAGTTGTTGGGTGAAAGCCCAAAGCGATCGTCCCTTGGGGGGGGGGTGGAAGTGGAAGGGGGGGGGCATGGGGGGTTCCAAAAGTATAGTAGAGAGAATATGGGGGTTGGAGCCCAGTGGAGCCAGTTTGGCCAAGAAAGGCCAGTTTAGCCCAAGAAGGCTATACTTAGGTGTTGGATGATGAATTGACCATTGGGAAGTCCAAGACTAGAGTAAATATGGATTGACAAGCGCTGTAACTTGGTGAAGTGTTCAAGAGCTGGCTCTAGTTCCCCCGGGAGATCGAATGGTCGATGCTCCCAGTCCAAGTGTGGGTGGCACTACCTACTTGGATATTTGGCGTGGCTTAACGGAATCTCGCTCTAAGCCCATGGCTAGAGCACCCAAAGGTGGAAAGTAGGGAGAGTACCCATGAGACTCGCATAGGGCCACGGTGTTCCGAAATATTGTCCGAAAGGCCAAGTCTGTGGAAAGGAAGAGGAGTAGCCCTCTAGGGTGGTGACTAGGGACACAGTCACACGGTGAGGCAGTCCCAGAGGAGCGTGGGACTTGGTGGTCGGGCCTGTGGGCCTTGATCCAGTGGCAGTGTTGGCGAACACAGCCATGGACAAAAAGAGACTTGGTGAGGACCGAAAAGGAGGTATTGGGGAAGGCTATTCCCCATATTTATAGGCATCCTAAGGATGCTAAGGAGTGGATCTGGGATGATCACTCATGGACAGATGGCCCAGTCTTTGAAAGACGGGACTGTGATGTAGGTGGTGTCAGACCACCGATGTGACCAAGGTGAATGGGCATGGCCTTAGCGTAACAGGCTGATATGTTGGTGGTACCTTGGGGTGTCAGTCATGGGATTGGACACGTGGAGCACTTGGACCAAGTGCAATGGTTGAGTGGCATGGATGCCATTCTTAGGGCTAGCAAGTCCCTAAATCCAAAATAGGACTTACGGAGGTTGTGAGTGAGACTCCTCCAAGTGGTCAAATGTGTGGTTAAGTGATTAAAGTAGAATGGAAAATTTAGTCGCTTACAGGAAGATACATAGGAACAGGACCTTCAATTAAAATGTTACACGATTGGATGAAGAAAAAAGTGACTCCACTAGCATGAACAAGAATAGTTGCAATGGAGGGAGTGGTTCACAGCACATCTATGGAATATACTCTTTAGGCTTCTATTAGTGACATGAAAACTGTCCGCTCAAACATCATTTTTTCTTTGTTGATGAAGAAATTGATATGGACTTTAAAGCGAAAAGCTCTCATAGGCCTAATGTTGAGTACCATTCTACTCCAAGATGCCAGCTTTAGACTAAGCCACTGCAAGTGGCTGATAAAGAAGTACATCACAACAGGTTGAAATCGCTTACCATAGCATGAAGCTGAAGTAATAGGTAATCCACTAAATAATAGCAAAATTCAATATAAAGTGTGTGGGGATGTTTTCGAGGGGCAAGTGTTGAGCCTAGAACTATGATGACAATTTTGCTTCTATTCTAACCCTATATTTCCATAGGGAACAAAAGCAAACAAGAATTTCAAGATGATATTAGTTATATTGCTACAACATTAATGCCAACTATATGAAACAACTTGAAGACAATATAGTGACTAAACCTAATGTAATACTTGAAGAATGGCCAGATGAGATTGGAAACCCTATCAATAATATAAACTTATTATACTTTATATAATTACTATTCTTTCATTTCACTTTTTATTTCATATACTTACAAGTGTTCTTTTTGCATACTATCTATAGTACTAGTGTGTCTCCATTTCTGTAATCTTCTGGGTGTGTGATGTTATAGTGTGTTATAAGAACATATATACCATTATACTAATCATCACCATTATTTTCACTGGAGGCCAAAAAACATATAGAACATTTCTTGAAAGTCATGAAATTACAATTTTCTAAAACAAATAAGAGAGCATGCTTTTTCACCCAAGTTATTGCACCCTCTGTTATTGCATTTATCTCCAACTCGTGATTATTATTTTCACTATCCTCCTTTTTTTTTTTCTTATATAGTTTAGTTGTGTTGTGCAATGGGACTACTATTGCAACTTCTAGCCCTTGAATTACTACATTAGAAGGAAGATTACAAACCTTAAAATTACCAATATTACTCATAGATATTTGTGTGTATTTCCCTTTTTTTGAATAAAAGTGTGAGTGAATATCCATAAATTCTAGACATTATACTATGACAAACACCCAAAAATATATTCTAAAGAAGAACCAATTCTCTCTTTTATATGTAACAAACTTACTTAAACAATTGTGTTTTTTCATTTCAAATGGTTATATGGCCTTATATAGAATCTTATTTTAAATTTAATAATTTTTAAATTCTGACAAACCTGATATTTACTAGCTAGAAAGCATAGAGTACAAATTTAAGGAAGTGATAAAAATACTTTTTGTGCGAACATTTTATTTTATGTTTTAACAAACATCTCTATTATAGCATATAATTAATATTTAAATTTTTTAGAAAAAAAATTGTTCTTTAGAACATTTTAATGTGTAGAGAGTTATGAAATTATTAAGTTCACCATAACCTTAATATTTTAAAGTTTATAATATTTGTATTAAATCATAATTGAAAATTGAGTTCAACTTATGAGTTCAACTCTTCAACTTATGAGCTCAAGAGTGATCCACACTCAATCATAATGCCCATTTTGACAATCAACCCACCAAACTATGCTCTCATACATGCTCCTGGGGGCTGCCGAGATCACCCAAGTTAACATAAAGTTGCATGAGAACTGTCCAGTAGACAATGGTCTTGCATGGGATCTCGTGAAAGAACCTCATTAAAATGCCCATTTTCACAAATGCAAGGAGCATCAGTCTCCATGAGACTGGATTCTTCTCCATCGAAGATGTTCTGCTCAAGGGCAACAAAGCCTTTGTGGCCGTAAGCTTGATCCAGCATGGAATCACAGATCTCTTTTGCAGTGGCAAAATCCCGGCTGTGGGCATTCACTAGTACGTGCCACTGCATTAATGAAGGGGAACTGATAACGTCCTGTCATTCTGGGGGTAGCACGCCCACAGCACGAGATTCTTGGCCAGCATTTTTTCGAAGGACACTGCTTCGATTTGCCCCTGGCATGCAATCATTGAGACGGCCTGGCACTCTGGATGCAATCAAACATAGCCCGGGATCTTCCACATATGCAGCAATCATTGCATTCCAAGAGACGATCATGGAACTCCATCCCACCAAACATGTTATTGGCTAGTTTTCTATGCATTTTTAAGCAACCAAAACCTTCTTGCCCCTACTTAGGCACAACCACAACCAAGCCAGAGTTAGCCATGGTGGCACAGACTGGGGCTACAGCCAAGCAAGGGTTAGCCACAACACAACCAGGGCGGCTGGGGCCAGAACCAGAGCTGGCTGGCCATAGCTTGAGACTCATCAGCCTTTAAGGTTGATGCTTGTTCTTAGCAATAATAAATGATTTAAGAAAATTGGATTTTGGAGAGTGAGATAAACTTTCAAAACAAAATGCTTCTGAAACTTCTCTAAAAGGTCCTAAGTCGTGTTTTCTTGGAGGCAGCCTTTCGGTGTGGCATAGCCTCTATGATCAAACAGCACTGCATGTGATGCTTGCGTGCCTTGAAAATCCACACTTGGTATTTCTAGTTTCCAAAGAGAAGATCGATCACCACTGACAGACGGCTGGGCGCCATAAGTCTCGTAGTAAATACCGAGACTTTGAGTTAGCCATTAGAGATGCTGTAGCTGGGAGCAAACAAAGCTCGACCGGGAAAAAGAAGTTCGTTGGTTGCTGCGGCAACCGGAGCAAAACTTTGAGTCGATGGGCCACAAACCTGGATTAGAGCAACACATTTCTCCGTTGGTACCATCGCCAGTCGAAACTCAGGTGCAGTGAGCGTAGTCCAACTGAGCTATCCCCGCTTAATTCTTAAACAGACCCAAGTTTTGTGCGAAGTTTTGATGCGGGTGCGGGTTTACATCCTGTGTAACGCCACTTCGAGAGCTCCTGGGACTCAAGGCCTTGAACACGACCCTTGATCTGAAGATCATTGATCATCAAATTCAAGCACTGGATCCCCAATCGCCCCAAATCTCTCCATTGTTTGCTCTCTGAACAAGATCGGAAGGCTCGAGTTCGTTAGTGAAGTCGAATATTGATTTGCAATGGCTTAGAGCCTAGACTCTGGACGCTCCATAAATCTTATGGCGCAACCTTGTTAATATCTTCCACACACATCTGCAAGCAACACAAACGTTGCAGCATCCTCATCCTCCCCCAGGAGTGGCAAAGAGAATCTCTCCTCCTCCACAATCTTTGGAGTCGCCTCAGCCTTGGAGCACGCACTGAGGAGTGTGTTCCATGCCGCAGATCCAGCAAAGAAGGGCATTCTTTCCAGGAGCTCCTCCGCATCCTTCACCAGTCCAGACCGGCCAAGCATGTCCACAACGCAGCAGTAGTGCTGGAATGTCGGACGGATGCCCCGGTCACTGTCCATGGACAAGAAATATTCCCTGCCGGCTCTCAGCAGGCCAATGTGGTTGCAAGCCGACAAGACCCCGACAAGAGTGTTGTCATTGCTCTTGACGCCCTCGAGATCCATGATCCGAAACAACCCAAGCGTATCACTCCCATGCCCGCTTTGGGCATGCGCCTGGATCAAAACATTCCACGACACCACATTCTTGTGTGGCATCAGGAAAAACATGTCTTGTGCTTCCTGGAGATCACCACACGCCACTGATGCCGTAACAATCGAGTTCCACGACACCAGATTGTGCTGTGGCATCTTTCCAAAAGACTTTTTCGATTCCTGGATATACCCAACTTGGGCATATGCCGCAAGGACAGTATTCCAAGATACTACGTTCTTCTGTGGTGCCATTTCAAACGCACAAAAGGCTTCACACGGCCTCCCATTTAAAGCGTAAGCTGCGACCATAGCCGTCCACGTCACCACGTTTTTGTCGAGGATTGACTCAAACAGAAGCTCCGCCTGTTCTAGATACCCATTCGCGGCAAGTGCTGTAAGCATCGCGGTTGAGGTGACAACGTTTGGCTCGAAAGTTTGATCATAGATTCTCTTGGCTCTTTGGATATCGCCAGAGATACCATAGCCAGAGATCATGACCGTCGAGCACATTGGATCTTTCCTGGGAAGTGTCTGGAAGAACTTCTCAGCGCGATCCATTTGCCCCGCTTGGGCGAGCGCCTGGATCATGATGCTCCAGGTGACGAGGTTCCAATGGGGGAATCGCAGCAGCAGCTCGTCCGATTGGGCAATCAATCCATTCTGAGCGTAAGCGGCGAGCATCGCGTTCCACGACACCACGTCCCGGCTCTCCATCGAATCAAACATGGCCTTGGATCGATCGGGCTCCTCGGCCTGTGCGTACATGGCGATGATCGTCGTCCACGCGAAGCTATCGCGGCAGGGCATCCGATTGAATGCCTCTTTGGCCCAGGAATTCTCGCCATTGAGGACGAGCACCTGGATCATGGCGTTCCAGCACACGCAGTCCCGCGAATCGATCGCAGCGAACAGTGATCTGGCCTCGTCCAGATGCCCGTTTAGCGCGAACGCCACCATCACCGCGGTGGAGGCGACGACGCTTGGCGGCTGGGGCGATCGATCCAGCAAGGCCTTGGCTTCCAACAAATGCCCCCTCTGGGCATAAGCGGAGACGATCACGTTCCAGGAGAATCGATTGGGCTGCTCGATACGATCAAACACCGCCCTCGCCTCGCCCAGGCTCCAGCACTTGGAGTAGAGATCGATGAGGAGATTGGCGAGGTAGCGATTCTGGGAGTGGTCTGGGGAGCGAAGAATGTGAGCATGGATGTCTCTGCCCTTGGCAATGTCACGCGCGGCGGCACAGGATTTGAGGACCTGGGCGATGGATTGCGCATCGGGTGGGAGCTCGCAACCGTGGGACGACGTCTTGGTGGCGCCGCCTCGTAGCATCTGGTAGAAGATCTTCTTGCCCAGAACCGGCATAAGTCCATCGCGTGTTGCACAGTGGAGGAATTTAAGGTCAACATTCTTTTGAAGATTCTTTTATGGGTGGTCAACTTTGGAGATTTCCTTTGACTTTCAGCGGGAAAAATCAACATTCTTTTGACGAGCAACAAATGGTCTGACAATGAGAGAGAAGTCAACAATATATAAATTATATATGTGTAAAGCTTTTATTTCCAACAAAAGAAATCATAAAGAAGGAAAGAAAGTTCTTCCAATAAATCCAACATTTACATTTTGATTAATCTTCTATAGTTCTTGCATGACTAAACTCTAGACAAGTATTAAACTGCTAGACTTGCTGAAAGACTTCAAGGAATTCCTTTAGCTCTTTTCTTATTGAACTGTTGAACTACTGTTGCTATTCATACTTTTATTACATCACTTTGAAGCTTTTATAAAACTTTAAGATCAAAATTCATGGCATCTTGCAGAGCATCTTAGAAATTAATGAAATGTGTAAAACAAACTGGTCTAAAGAGCACTTCTGAAAGATATATAAGCAAGTGCTTAAAGTTCTTAATATAAATTTATTTATATAACTAAATATTTAATTGGGTAATATCATAGCCTAAAACCTTAGTTTATAGTAAGAGGTTTGAATTGAATCCAAAATAGTACATAACATCATAGGCATACATTTAAACCTCACATCAATCATCCCTTCATCTCAAAAGCATGTAAGGCAATTATGGTTCTTTAGTTGATGTGGCAGTATTCAAGAGGAGATACATAGGTAGTGCAACTTTTACTTGTTGAATGTTATGAAAAAATTTATAGCCTAACTTGCTGAAATATTTAATATGGTCTCTTTCATAAGCAAGGACCATCTTTGTGCTAACATGGGTGGCTATCAGCAGCCCACCTGCAAACAATACTTTAAGATTAGGAAAATGTACTAAGTTATTGGGTAAGTTCATCCCTATGAATACTTGCTAAGGCATGGTAGAAGGTGCAAAGCTATCCTCCTAGTCTGGAGGAGAATAACTAAAGAAAACATATGAGGCCAAAAAGCAAGAAGTATTGGGATGGAACTGAACTATAGAAATGAAAGGGCATAACTAATAGTGGTTTTGCAAGTTGGGAGTGGAGAATCAAGAGGGTGCTCGAGGATGTTGTTACTAGCAACCGCGGTGCCATAAAGAATCTAAAATGTGGAATTATTCATGTTAGACCATATGGTGAGTAGGGAGTTTGCAAAGGAGAAGCCTTAGCAAGCTAAAGAACAGAGTTCCTTGAAAGTTCCCGAAGAAAATTCTAGGTAGATAAGTACCTAGAAAGCCAAGTGTAAATGGTTCCTAGAGCGCGCGAAATCAAAGTGGCGCAGCAGAAGCATGATCTTGAAGCTGTCTATGAGGCAAGGCTATCAAGGTTGGGGAAGTAGTTCCCAAGTGTTCAAATAAACGGCTTTGAATGAAAGTCGATGGTTAAGGACTTTCACGCTTATGCATGAACCATATTACATTGGCCGAATGACTTGCTAGATGAGATTGGCAAGTTGGGGGAACAAATACCCTAGTTGAAGGTGCTAGCGAGCAATAAGCGAGGCTCTAAAAAGGGACCCAAAAATACCAACACATGACACGTGAAGGAGTCTGAGATGGAGTCCGAAATGGACCCAAGATGGAGTTCGAGATGGAGTCTAAGGTGGACCGAGATGGAGTCCGAGATGGATCTAAGATGGAGTCCGAGATGGAGTCCGAGATGGAGTCCGAGATGGAGTCCGAGATGGACCCGAGATGGAGTCCGAGATAGACCGAGACGAAGTCCGAGATGGAGTCCGAGATGGACCCGAGATGGAGTCCGAGATAGACCGAGACGAAGTCCGAGATGGAGTCCGAGATGGACCCAGTCCAAGATGGACCTGAGATGGACCCAGTCCAAGATGGACCCGAGATGGAGTTCAAGATGGAGTCCGAGATGGACCCAAGATGGAGTCCGAGATGGAGTCCGAGATGGACCCAAGATGGAGTCCGAGATGGAGTCCAAGATGGAGTCCGAGATGGACCCGAGATGAAATTCGAGATGGACCCGAAATGGAGTCCGAGATGGAGTCTGAGATGGACCCGAGATGGAGTCCGAGATGGAGTCTGAGATGGACCCGAGATGGAGTCCGAGATGGAATCGAGACCAAGACCGAGACCAAGTCCGAGTCCAAGTCTGAAACCAGGACCGAGACCAAGTCCGAGTCCGAGTTCAAGTCTGAGTCCGAGTCCGAATACTAATACAGGTTGTTCGGTGAAAGCCCAAAGTGATCATCCCCTCGGGGGCGGGGGGGGGGTTCCAAAAGTATAGTAGGGAGTGTGGGGGTTGAAGCTCAATAGAGCCAGGAAAGGCCAGTTTTGCCAAGGAAAGCTATACCTAGGTGTTGGGTGACGAGCTGACCACTGGGAAGTCCAAGACTAGAGTGAATACGGATTGACAAGCGGGGTAGCTTAGTGAAGTGTTCAAGAGCCGGCTCTAGTTCCCCCGGGAGATTGAATGGTTGATGCTCCCAGTCCAAGTGTGGGTGGCACTACCTACTTGGATACCTGGCATGGCTCAACAAAACCTCACTCTAAGCCTATAGCTAGAGCACCCAAAGGTGGAAGGCGGGGAGAGTACCCATGTGTAGCGCACGTGATCATGGGATGAGATTTAGATATACTGTCACCGTGGATCCTTGGAACCTTGGGGGATAAATGGGGATAAAATAGCCACTAAGGGCTCTCTCATCAAACAATTGCCTCTTTTCCAGTTGGCTTAAGGGGAGAGAGATAAGGTGCATTACACCATGAGGCTCGAGTAGGGCCACGGTGCTCCGAAATGTTGTCTGAAAGGCCAAGTCTGTAGAAAGGAAGAGGAGTAGCCCTTTGGGGTGGTGACCAAGGACACAGTCACACGGTGAGGCAGTCCTAGAGGAGCATAGGACTTGGTGGTTAGGCCTGTGGGCCTTGATCCAGTGGCAGTGTTGGTGAACACGGTCATGGACAAAAAGGGACTTGGTGAGGACCGAAAAGGAGGTATTGGGGAAGGCTATTCCCCATGTCTACGGGCATCCTAAGAATGCTAAGGAGTGGATCTAGGATGACCACTCATGGACAAATGGCCTAGTCTTGGAGAAACAAGATTGCAATGCAAATGGTGTTGGGCCATCGATGTGACCAAGGTGAATGGGCATGGCCTAGCGTAACGAGCTAATATGTCAGTGGTGCCTTGGGGTGTTGATCATGGGATCAGACATGTGGAGCACTTGGACCAAATGCGAAGGTTGAGTGGCATGGATGCCATTCTCGAAGCGAGCAAGCCCCAAATCCTGAGTGGGACTTATGGAGGTTGTGAAGGAGACTCCTCATAGTGGTCGGAGGTATGGTTAAGTGACTAAAGTAGAATGGAAAAATTAATCTCTTACATAGGTGTCCCCATCTCATTCACCACGTCACTTGCACCAAAGTGTTTAAGTTAGATATGTCGAGCCATACTAAACAATCTAACTGTATATCACGACTTTGAGGCACCCCCCGCTTGGCGGTATACCAAGCTAATTTCCTTACTAAGAGTCCATGACCACCGAAAAATAAGTGTCTTCATATTCCAAACCATCACTGCGCCCTAGTGAGTTGGGACTTGAACCCAAGCACTAGAGGGTCAGGAGTCGAACCCAACCTCCATATATGCATCTACAAATAGCATCACCCAAAATGTCTAGCATGACTCCCCACGTTGATGCATTAATTTATACTTAAAGTACGCTACAGATTATAGCTTAGGAACCTAATTCCTCCACACTACCAAGTCCTTTCACTTGACAAGTCTGTGATCATGCTTAGCCCCATGGGCCACCCTTTTTTGAAATTAGCACCTTCAACTAGGGGCCTAACTTGCCAATCTCATTTAGCAAATCATTTGACCAACGTAATATGGTTTCATGCATAAGCGTAAATGTTTTTGATCATCGATTTTTGTTCAAAACCATCCCTTTAATCACTTAGGAACTACTTCCCCAATCTTGATAGCTTTGCATTATAGCAAGCTTCAAAACCACGCTTCTACTGCACCACTCTAATTTTGTGCATTCTATAAACCATTTACACTTGACTTCTTACATAATAAACTACCTAGAATTGTCTTTGGGAACCTTGAAAGAACTCTATCCCTTAGCTTGCTAAAGCCTCTTCTTTCACAAGCTTTCTAATTGTTATATGGTCTAATATAGATAATTCCATACTTTAGACTCTCCATAACATCATAATTGTTAATAACAATATGCTCGAGCACCCACTTGATTTTTCATTCTTAATTTGTATAACCACCCTTAATTATGCCCTTCAATTCCTATGGTTTGATTTTATCCATTTACTATTTGCTTTTAGCCTCACATATTTCCTTTAGTTATTCTTCTCCAAACTAAGAAGATAGTTTTGCACTTTCTACCATGTTTTAACAAGTATTTATAGGGATGAACCTACTTAATAGCATAGAGAGTGGTTCCTCAATCCAAGTATGCCCACCTTGTAATCTCACACATTAGGATTAACATTGCTACTTATGAGCCTTTATATGCCCATCACTAACTTTGTCAAAATCCTTTTTTGGTTTTGTCCAATTCGGATAAATGGACTTTTCCCGTCTCTACAACCTTGGACGTTAGATAGCACCTTCTATCCATCATTCACTAAGGGTTTAATCCCTTAAGCCTTATCTAATGCTCTCATGATACCAAACACCACTTCCTGGTGTTTTAGAGTGTTTGGGTGTCTCAATGATGGTCTTTTTTGATAATGAATATTCCCTTCACAACATTGATTTACTATATCACAACATAAGCAATTTATCCTTCATAATCCTTATCCCAATAAAAAGTTTTAGGTAGTTACCTTTTACTAATTCAATCAACTATTTTATACCTTTTGCTTAGTTGCCTCATAGTTGTTAAGTCCTACAACTCATTACTGATATTTCAACACCTCTATCATTATTTGGGTCACCACACTCCAATT